GATGTATCTTATCGTTTTATGATTGTAGTAATCTTCAGAATATATTAATAATCAATGGGGTTTTATTGTTTGTATATTAGGCATCAGCGATCAGTCTGGGCTTCGTTTTCACTATACTGCAGTTAAGCGTCGATACGATGCTGGTATATTGTGGATCGGTGCGGATGTTAGTAGCCGAATGTGGATCCCTCCAGGTGAAAAAAAGTGGCATTCACTTGGATATTGTCACGGAAGCTGTACAAAACCCGTAAGCTATAACTATAAATTTTGCAAATTCACATTCACTGACATATCAATCCAAACAGAGAAACTTTGTTATTATCGAAAAGAAGCATTCACGAGAAAACAACTACAAAGAGAAATGAAACTTTCATTAGAGAATTTATTTTAATGTTCTGTGTCTCATGGAAGGCTGGGGATGATCGTCGTATCTTTTAGGAGTAATATCAGGGATCTGGTATCTTTTAGGGTGTCTCAAAGGTTTTTGGGCCATCACTGGATGATGTGGGGTCCTTTTATGATAATCAGCATAATACGTGAAGATAACAACAACTTCAGTCACTCGTTTAATCGCGTTTAAGTATTTCAACAAAACTTTTTAGTTGCTATCTTTTGGGATGGAAAAAAAAARTTGTGTTACCACGCCCTTTTTCGTAAGAGTCTAGTATCTTTTAGGGTATTTTCTAAAAAATTCCGACGATCACCCCCACCCTAAATACGAGGGAGTCCACTTCCAGGAATTTTCCTGGAAGAACATTACTATTGGTCGTGCAAAAACCAGCAGAATATATAAATAGCTTATTTGAAACTCAACAATGGAAACTTCTCTGCATGGATAAACCGTAATTAAACTAGTTTAAATCTCAGTTCCTAAATAAAGACTGATCGGGCACTGATCGATTGATTCCTTTCAAATAGGGCTTCGTTATTCATAACATATATCATATATCATATTTCAGTAATGTCAATTGCCTCTTTTTAACAGGGATTGCAAGACAGCCCCCTAGATGGAGGGGGGATCAAACTCTTCGCAGTTTTTCTCCATTCTCATCTATTGGGTAACATTGTAACACTTGTAAAAATAAAACACATGAACCAATGCTCAAGTTTCGAATTCTCTTTTGTGCAAGCATAAATCAAGCATAAATTTATGTATATGCTCTTTTTTGCACACAGCGCTTTTGCATTACAATAGATTCTCTGCTGAAGAAAATAAAATATTGCATGCTTTCRAGGTTAAGRCTGCACAAATAAGATCTCGAAACTGGAGTATTATCAATATCAAAATGAAAAAACTTTAATTGTTGGAACATCTTAMTAATTTATTTTTGACACTAGCTTTATGTTTAAAAAACATGRTAATTCATGCGTTTCTTGAAATGTGATCGCACAAATACATGTTTTTTAATTATTATGAATCCTCCTAGCTGCAAATTTAATATATGTTGGGAAATCTTGTTGATTGTAAATTTACGGCAAGCCAAGCTTTCCGATTCTAAGGAATACTACATCTAGATTTTAACATCTACAATCTTCTGCAAAAATAAATGGAAGCTCCTAAACTTTCCTCAATGCAAGGTTGCACATACATCATTTCCCTCATCCTTAGTAAGAGGGTACGTTACGCGTGAYCGAAACTAAACATGGCTAAGAGGGGACTACATCCTTAGCGATTTGGTAGCAATTGACAGATCGCGATTCATTATCCTACCCTAGTTACTGTTGCTTTGTCGGACAAGCGAAAATATTCTTTTGATATAAAACATGCGGGGGCGGATCCAGGATTTTCCTCAGGGCGGCTGCAGGGCTCTCAGGAAGGGATGCACCCCACAAAAAATCATTACCATGAAGATACAAAATACGGAAAGTATTAAAGGATACAGATCTCAGGAGGGGATACGCACCCCTTGCACCCACCAGCTGAATCCGCCCCTGACATGGAAAAGAAAAGACGAATCCGGCCTTGAATCCGCCCCTGACATGGAAAAGAAAAGACGAATCCGGCCTTGAACTTTGTGCGTTTTTTCCAGGTGCTGCAATGTGGACAAGGCACATGGAAAAGAAAAGACGAATCCGGCCTTGAACTTTGTGCGTTTTTTCCAGGTGCTGCAATGTGGACAAGGCACATTCGAAATGAAGTAGAATTATCGGAGATAGTACGGGACAATCACTACGACTTCAACTTTCAGGTATCAACCTCGACTAAACGAATTTCTAAAGGCCCGTTTACAMTTGCGATTTTTGAAGCGCGATTGTCGCGCCGACCATCGCCTTAGTTTCGAACATGCTTGAAATTTAGCTGCAACTTCGCGGCGATTTTCGATCGCCGTAACAAWCTCAGAGCTACTAAAAATGAAAGAATCGTCTGCGTTTACTTGATATTTTAATACCGAGCTTTCGGCCTAAGCGGCCATTATCAAGGTAGAGTACACGTACGATTTTAGCTGCGCTCGCGCGAGAACAAAGTGGTGATTGTCGCGCTGCAAAAATTCCAATGTAAACTGGGCGCCTTAATGTGCATAGTTTTGGTGCTTTAAAGGAACGTGGTCAGCCGGCATTCATTGCGGTCGTGTTTTAGATTTTTCGTACATGGAAAATGAGGTGACCTCAAATATCCGCAATCCGACAGTTTTAAGATCGATCGAATCTTTCAATATATCCATTCATATCCACTGGAAAAAATCGCGAGCTTTAAAGGTTGTAAATTTGATGTAAATATTATGTAAGTGTCCAAAATGATGTAAGTTTGATGTAAATTTACATCAAATTTAAGAATCAAATTTACATCAAATTTACATCATTTTGGACACTTACATAATATTTACATCAAATTTACAACCTTTTAAAGTGAACGATTTTTTCCAGTGATCTCCATAAGGATTGAATTTTTGATTATATTACGATGTATTTTTATTTTTTAAACATAATCAAAAGCTCCAAAGGGATGAAGGTTGATATTGTCCCTTTAACAACAAAACATTCACTTATTATTCAGCATTTTAAACTTACATTTCTATTTTAGGAATACCAGGTTCTAAAAAAGGAAATACGTGTCCTACCTGTAAGTATYACTTCAAAGAAAACATYAGTATCAAGRAATACTYCAGTTTCGAGATCTTATTTGTGCAGCCTTAACCTCGAAAGCATGTAAAATATTCTTTTATTCAGCAGAGGTCCTATTGTAATGCAAACACTCTTTGTACAAAGAAGACWATAAAAAATTATRCTTGATTKRAAMYWARSYT